GGAGTCTAGGAATTTATCCATTTCCTCGAGGATTTGATGTTCCGTGGCATAAAGCTTCTCAAAGTACTCCCTGAGGATCCTCTGAATTTCCGTGGTTTCTGTTGTAATGATCCCCTTTTCATTTCTGATTCGGTTTATTAGGGTTTTCTCTCTCCCTTTCTTTGTGAGTTTTGCTAGAGGCTTATCAATCTTGTCAATTTTCTCGAAGAACCAGCTCTTGGTTTCATTGATCTTTCGGATTGTTTTTTGGGTTTCCATCTCGTTAATCTCTGCTCTGAGTTTTATTATTTCCTTTCTCCTGTTCGGGTTGTGCTCCTTTTTTTGGTCCTTCTCCAAGCTCTTAAGCTGTGAGGTTAGGTTACTTATGTGTGCTCGCTCCTCCTTCCTGAGGAATGCTTTTAGAGCTATAAACTTTCCTCTTAACACAGCCTTTGCTGTGTCCCATAAGTTTTGGTAACTCGTGTTCTCATTTTCATTCGTTTCTAGGAATCTTTTGATTTCCTCTTTGATTTCCTGTCTAATCCACTCGTTGTTCAATAGTGCACTGTTTAATTTCCAGGTGTTTGACTTAGCTTTCTGTTTTTGTGTGTGATTTACTTCTAATTTCAGCGCATTGTGGTCTGTGAAGATTGTTGGTACAATCTCTACCTTCTTAATTTTATGGAGGCATGTTTTGTGGCTCAGCATGTGGTCTATCTTGGAGAATGTTCCATGTAAGCTTGAGAAGAATGTGTATTCAGCTTTTTGTGGATGAAGTGTCCTGTATATATCTACTAAGTCCCCTTTTTCCATTGTTTCCCTCAAATGAAGTATGTCCTTGCTAAGCTTGAGTCTGGTTGATCTATCAAGAGGTGACAAAGCAGTGTTGAAGTCTCCCACTAGTATTGTGTTGCTATTGATGTCTTTTTCCAAATCTATGAGTAGTTGTTTTAAGTACTTTGCTGGTCTCTCATTAGGTGCATATACATTTATTATTGTAAGTTCTTCCTGTTGTACAGATCCTTTGATCAATAAGAAATGGCCTTCACTGTCTCTTATGACCTTCCTCACTCTGAAATCGATGTGGTCTGATATAAGGATGGCTACCCCAGCTTTTTTATGGGAGCTGTTTGCCTGTAGGATTGTTTTCCAGCCTTTGACTCTGAGTCTGTGTTTGCTTTGACTATTGAGATGCGTTTCTTACAGGCAGCAGAATGTTGGGTTCAATTTTCTAATCCATCTGCCACTCTATGTCTTTTAATTGGTGCGTTTAGCCCATTGACATTGAGAGAGATTATTGTTATGGGATTTTGTCCCATTGTTCTGTTGAAATTTGGTGTATTTGAGGGGCCTTTCTTGCCTTAAAGTAGCCCATTTAGTTGTTCTTCTAACCATGGTTTTGAGTCTATGAAGTTCCTGAGCTGTTGTTTGTCTGTGAAACTGTGTGTTATTGCCTCTGTTATGAATGAGAGTCTCGCTGGGTAAAGTATTTTGGGGGAGGCATTTATTTCATTGAGTTTTTTCACTATGTCCCACCACTGTTTTCGGGCCATGAGGGTTTCACCAGAAAAATCAGCTGTGAATTTTAAGGATGCTCCTTTGTAAGAGATTTCTTTCTTCGATCTTGCTGCTTTCAGAATTTTGTCTCTGTCTAAGGTTTTGGTCATTTTGATCAGAATGTGTCTTGGGGTATTTTTATTCGGATTTCTTCTAGCTGGTACCCTTCGGGCCTCCTGAATGTGGTCACAAGTTTTCTTCAGCTCTGGAAATGTTGTAGCAATGATTTCTTTGACAGTTTCTTCTTCATCAAGGTTTTCTTCCTGTACCTCTGGGACTCCAATAATTCTTATGTTACCCCTCTTGGCTTCATCCCGATCTTCTCTTGCCATCTGTTCCCGAATTGTGAGTCTCTTTTCCATTTTCTGCTCTTTTCTGGAGAGTCTCTGAACTTCATCTTCGAGCTCACTGATTCTGTTCTCAGCCGCTCTTACTCTGTTGCTGAGGCCTTCCACTGAGCTTTTCAATTCGCCTACGAGATTTTTCAGGTCTTACATTTCTGATTGCATTTTCCTCATTTCTGCCTTCAGATCCTCTTGTCTTCTATTGGCATTGCTTTCCATTGTTTCTTTTAATTCCCTAAGCATCCTAAGTAGCTCCCTTCTGAATTCCTTGTCAGAGAGGTTGTCTAACACTACAGTACTGTTGGTGTCATCTGGGCTAGACTCTTCAATATGAAAGTTTGGTGGGCTTTTGTGTTGCTTTACCATTGTGAGAGGTGTGGTTTAGTCCTTCACGTTCACTGTTGCTATTCTGTTTTATATGCAGTGTGAGTTAAGATAGGCTTATGAGTTATTGGCTACTGTGTTTCTAGTGGCTGAGCTAAAATAGAGAAGTTTCCATCTAAGAAGCTAGAACCATCTAAGATGGTTCCTATGGTATACGTAGTGGGAAAATATTTCGCGGCCGCGTCAGCTGCCGCGGCTCTGGAAAGAGTCCGTGGCACTGGGCGAGGAGTTGGGAACGTCTCCTGTTTGGAATTGGAGCCGTTCAGCTTTGTTGCCCAGAGCTGCGCCTCTGTGCCCGTCCCACGCAGATCAGGGGTTGAAAACCGGCTTTCTAGGGGCTGGATCTAGCTGCGCATGCCCAAAGAGGGTCCCAGGCCCTTGGGGGCAGGCTGTACCTGTTTGGAATTGGAGCCGTTCAGCTTTGTTGCCCAGAGCTGCGCCTCTGTGCCCGTCCCACGCAGATCAGTGGTTGAAAACTGGCTTTCTAGGGGCTGGATCTAGCTGCGCATGCCCAAAGAGGGTCCCAGGCCCTTGGGGGCAGGCTGTACCTGTTTGGAATTGGAGCCGTTTAGCTTTTTTGCCCAGAGTTGCACCTCTGTGCCCGTCCCACGCAGAGCAGGGGTTGAAAACCGGCTTTCTAGGGGCTGGATCTCTGATTAGCTGTTTTGTTTAGCAAAATTTTGTTGAAGATTTTTGCACTGATACTCATCAAGGAAATTGGTCTATTCTTTTCTAGTAGTATCTCCATTTGCTTTGGGTATTAGTGTAACGTTAGATTCATAAATGCTTTTGGTAAGATTTCCTGTTTCTTCATTTTGGAAAAGTTTAAGGAGTACAGATAGTAAGTCTTCGGAGGTTTAATAGAACTCACCATCTGGCCCAGAACTTTTGTTCTTGGCATATCATACCATCTATTTCTGGCATCGTAATGGTGATGGCTGACCAAGAAGACCTAGATTGAATGTCTGGTTGTGTTTGATTGCTTAACTTTGTGAAATATCTCTTTAATACTCAACATGTTCTACACTTAGCCTAGTCAGGAACGTGGCTGTCTCTTCTCTTATTTCCTGCAGTTTGTAGACAGTCATTGGTGTCGGTTTAATGTGATCGCCTCAGGTTGATCAACTCCAGTTAATTACCTTGTCTTGGGGATGTGGGACTGTCTAAATTCACCTGTACACTTCTTGTGAATGTCTGTGTTCCCATCTACAGATAGTCTCCTGCACATCTCAACAGCAATTCTGAACCTTGGGACTCTGCTGTTTTCTGGTCCTTAAAGTGTCTCTGAACAATAAAATTTTTCTGCCCTGAGGTTCCAGTTTGGGAAAACATTTGTGACCATCCTGTGTCCATTCTTCCAGTAGCCCCTACAGGTTAGTACAAATAACCGGAACAATTTGTAAATCATGTTTACTGTCTCTCCCAGGTCCACGCTAGCACACTGACTATTGTTTAAGAGTGTCACAGACCCTGGGAGGGGCCTTGAGGGTAGAAGTCAACATACCTTATCGGTTTCCTATGATTCTTTTTTAAATTTTTTTTTTTAATTAAATCACCATGAGATAGTTACAAAGCTTTCATAATCATTTCAGTAACACACTATTCCAACATCCATCCCTCTACCAGTGTACATTTTCTCCCAACATCCTCCGACCCCCTCCTGCCCCTTGCCCCCCAGCCTGCCTCTATGGCAGGCATTTTTCATTGTCTCTCTCTCTCCTTTTGGCAATGGAAAATTATACACCTGTTACAAAAAAATAAAGTCATTATAAATGAGTGGACATGGAGAGTATTATGCTAAGTGAAATGTCAGGATAGACAGAATGAATGCACTCACTTGTGGAATATTAAAAAAAAAATGAGACTAACACCCAAGGATAGTAGAAACAAGGGTTGGGATGAATGGTTCATGGTTGGATGCCTGACTCAAGGGTTAGGGCAGAGGGCAGTCAGATAGAGAAGGGACCACTATGACAATTTTTTCCCCTAAGTTTTGGATTATACCTGGCAATGTTCAGGGTTAATCCTAGCTCTACACTCAGAAATTACTCCTGGTGGTGCTCAAGACCATATGGAATGCTGTGGATCAAACCTGAGTCAGTCATGTGCTAGGTAAACACCCTCCCTGCTGTACTATCGCTCTGACCCAATTGTCTTTCTTTTGACTTACGATTCACTCAGTTGTTGCAAATCTTTGCTTGCCAGAGTTCTGGCAAAGGCTTTGGAAAGCTCTTGGTGGCATTTTTATTTCTAAGGGACAGTTTGGAACTGCCTATTTGTCATTTGCTGTCCTCTCTCTGCCACTTGCTTTGATAAGCTATCTATATCTATTTCTTCCCTAAACACTATTCAGAAAGTTTTTAAGGTTCAGACTCGTAAGGTCTGTTGTAAAGTTCAATATGGGTAACAAACAAGCTGTGTCACAACTACATCAGATTTTTTAAATGCTGCGTCATACCCCACAAAACATCTCTAACTTTAAATTTGTATTTTTAATTTTTCTATAAAAAATGCATTACTTGGGTCAGGAATATAGCTCAGTGGTAGAACATTTGTCTTGCATGTGTGAGATTCTGGGTTAGGTCATCTCACCACACACGCAAACATATTTATGTATATATATGCAAATATATGTGTGTGCATATATAAATACATATACACACATATATATTTATATATACACACACAATTTTACCATTAGTGTATATCATTTAGCATCAGAATTAGAAAAATATCGTTTTATTTCAATTTTATTGAATATTTTCATATTACACAATCTACTGAAAACAGTGACAACAGCAAGACTTCATCACCACCACACACACAAAATTTTACAGCTGATGAAATATTTTCTAATATTTATTGTCAAATTACAAGTTTTTGCTATTTGACTATACAGTTTGTTTCTATCAATAGTGATAATCAATAACCAAAAAGAAAAGACACTGTACATCCAGTTTATATTGGAGCATGAGAGAAACAGAAGCCAAAGTTATCATTCAAATTTGAGTGTAACATGAGTTTCTACCAAGGGGATTTTATTTGCTTCTGAATATGAACAAAAATAATTCATTTAAACCTGGTGACTATTTTCAAGCATTGGAGTAACAAACTGAGGGTAAATATCCTCCAAAATCTTAGCTGAAGAAGGTGTTTCAAGCAGTAAACTGTTTTCTGTGCAGATGAGTAGAGAAATATTTAAGCATTTGTGCCCAGCTAGCGAGAGACACTTTGTGCTGCTGCAGAAAGCATTCTCGTTTCCAAACTCTGTTCACGTCTTTGGTGAGCATTTAAGTACGTTTTCTGCTGTGCCACTCCCGCTGGTGTTCCGGACTTCCATTTGGCTCTGTGATCAGGGTTTGCTATAGAAGCACTCGGGTGCAAGGCTGGCTGCGTGGGAGGCAGGCAGGCACCTTGTGCCCTGTACTATCTCTCTAGCCCTTAAGAGAGTTCTTATGATGCTTATATCCCAGCTAATTTGGAAAGAGAGTAAAAAATAGTGTTTTACTTGCCACTTTTCCATGTTAAACTCAATTTGTAGCCTTTCTCCAAAGAGACAGAAAAGACCATTCTCATTTGTATGCAGTTCAGTTAACCAATCATGTATTAACTCTATAATATAAAAACTTATAACTGAATATTCATGTTAACCTCCACCAATATAATCCAGTTAATTTTTAAAAGATCCACAGGTTTGCACCAGTAATACCTGATAGTCTATTCTAGAAAGTTTCTGAAACTTGAAATTTTCTGGTTTACTATTGTCTGAAATAAATTTATTTGGTTATGATAAAGATAAAAGGTGGTAACAAAATTGAATATACTACAAACATCTAAAATTAGCTATTGAAAAGCAACTAACATAATTTAAATGATATAACTTGGTCAAGGTAAGCCATAATCTTTGTGGAATTTAAAAGTGGGAAAACTTTTGTATTTCAATAACTGGAAACACACACACACACACATACACACACACACACACACACACACACGCACGCCAAATTGTCTCATACTTTTCAGATACTCTGGTTTTGTTCCCAAGAATATTGATCACAAAAGTAATTGTGACATTCAGTAATCCAAGCAAACCTGCTTGTGTGTATTCTATGTTGTGTCAATACAAGGCCACTGCACTTATATTCCAAATGATTATAGTAAAACTCATCACTTCCATGAACAAATTACGTTTTAAAATGTTTAATGACAGATCAGCCAAATGCTTATCACCTCACTTATACTAACGGTCTTCCTACCAGATTCAACTGATTTGTAGTTTGGGTTTTTAAATTTTTTTTGGATTATACTGATCAACAATTTTACTTTTGCTTCTTTTCTTCCTCTATTTAAAAACAAAACAAAAACAGTAAAAAATTAAGGACAAATTTCCTTTAAGGTTCATATTTTTTTTTCCCTTAGAACATAGAAACAAGTATATATCCTGACCTGTTTCAATAAAAGGTGGTATGGGTGTATTTGCTTTTCCCCTTAAGGATATCAAATTAGAAGAAGAAAGCTTTAAAGAAAAACTTGGAGAAAATAAAAATTAAAGCCATTATTTAATGATGACAAGGCAAGAAGTACAAATTTCCAGGTGGATTTTAATTGTCTCTCTTAAGACAAATAATTCATAAAGAAAGGCAAGTGACATTTCTTTTAGCACACGCACTGTAACTCTGGTAACAATAACGTTATCATGATTGTAGTCTCAGAGTAGCTCTAAAAACAGTCTGATGATTCATGTAACTAGGCAGGTAAATCAAACTTTATAAAAGTATTATCAATTTGAAGTTACTGGCATTAAGATGCTGGGTTTGATTATGGACAAAAAAATGGTGTTGACTTTTAGGTATTTGGGGACCTTCACTTTTAATGTTTTACTCTGATATTTAGGCAAAATTTCATTCTATGTAATAAACCTATTTGAGTACAAATATGTAGAGATGAAGTCCATGATGTGGAGACTTAATAAATTTACACACTAAAAGTTCTACAAGACAATGGAATTTAAATCTCCAATTCCTGCTTAAAGATGACCAAATCTAATACTTCTAGTCTTTATCACAGACCACGTATTTATGTATCTAAGGTAAAACTGATCCCCTGATACCATAAACTATATTAAGGATGATATGATATGCCACTATAATCCTACAAGGTCCACTAATTGTAAATTGTATGAAAGTTGAATGGAATAAATTCGACTTTATGACTTTTTTTTCAAACTTGATGACAAATACTTTGCCTCAAATTATTTTTAGCTCAGCATAAATGCTAAATGTGGTTTCCAAATTAGGAGTATTTTGTCCAAATATATATGAATCCCTATCAATATAGTAAGCATCTTTAAAAGTTAATCTCATTTTCTAATAATTCTTTCAGCCAGTATTTTACTTTCATCCCTCATAATTCCATAATAAGGTATCCAGGTTATGTCTCTTAGAATAATGTGGAGCCTCTATTTCAAATGCTATTTTGAAGAATTGCAGCATAGATAATTTTGGTAATCTGTAACACAGCTGCATGCAATGTGTACTGTATTATGAGAGCACCGAAACCTTTATAGAAACCAAACACTCCCTCCTCCTGCCTGATGGTGTTGATACAGTCCCTCATGCCCTCATACTGTGTGTTGATTGGAAGCACCTCATAGCCAAGGTCTGTATTGTCAATTATTGTGCGTGTTCCTTGAATGTGAAGGCGGTGCAAGACTGTTTCCAATGGGTAAAGTATAATGTCAGAGCACAGACTGGCAGCAAAGTTAGCAATAAGTTCTGGAAAATAAGCATCCAACATACACTGTACAGGACTAGTGCTCTCAGCTAAGTGGCTACTGTAAGTCTTTCTCTTTAGAATTAGTAGGACCAACTTCTGAATGAGTGAACTGATGATGTAATGAAGAACCCCATGCAGCACGGTAGGGAAGATCAAGGAAAGAAGAGGAAGTAGTCGTTTGCTGTGAGGCACTCCCAAGCCCAACACTCTTCCAAGACCTTCTCTGACACACTCCAAAATTCCAGTGTTATCTCGAATGATCTCACTCTGAAACAAAAACAAAAAGTTAACTTTTCTTTTAAACCACAGAAAGGTTCTTTTTAGTATCCCTTTAAATCCTAATTTACTGACTCAAGAGAAAACATTAATGGTATGCAGACTTCAAATGTTAAACAGGCATCAGATTATTCTTTTTCAAAAGAAACATCATATAACAGATAGTTATGAAGTGAGGAGAGCCACCCACTGGGAAGGGAAACAGAAGATATGCACAAGATACACTTAGTTTCTGAAACCTCAAGAAGCTCCTTAGGACTCATTTCAAAAAGCAACAAATACAGGACACCTAAGGAGGGAGCACCGTGCTTAAAATTCTTAAGGATGCCGAGCCTGCTGCGCACCTCACTAGTCACTCCAGAGTTTGTTATTCTATAAAAATGGAACACTAATTTTTGTGCACATTAAGTGAAGAAGGTCTTCAATCAATAGTGTTCACCAATAATATCATCATCTAGAAGGAAATCAATAGTGAAGGCAATCAATAATGTCATCCAGCATCATCTATGTCTGTCTCTCTGCATAACAAAGCCTGTGAGGCGCACTCTAGCAGTAAGGGGAGGGAGGCAGCAACAGGAGAGCTCAGACCACTGCATGAGCAAGGGCCCGCAAGGGCCCTGTGAGGGACTCTACCTTCTGTGTGTGAAGAGTGAAAAGGAAGGCCAGATAATTAAGCACTGGGGAGAGAATTAGAGACTGTACGGTCCCACGGGTAAGACGGGGAAAGAAAACATGGGACACAGAAGAGCACTGTGATGATATGGTTGTTACTGAGAGAAACGCAAACTCAGGGGGTTGGAACGAAGGTGACATGATCAAGCTTCTTTCCGGACACTCAGTCAGAAGGTGGCCCGAGTGAGAAGTAGGCAATGCCTTCCTTAGTTGGTCAGGCGACCGCCTCTCATCTCTCAGTTTGAAAGAAGTGGATGGAAAACTCTGACTTCCAGTATGTACAGCTTGGACCTTTCCTCATAATTGAAATCCACATGCACGAAGAATGAACTTTATAATGCAGGGCCAGAACGAGGACGCTTAATGACGATCATGGATAATCACTAGGAAGTTTTTCAGGAGACCTATGTATACACCCCTATTTTTCAAGAGAAAGAATGTTTACACAGAGAGATGTCCAGCACAAACAACAGTAAACTGAAGGAGAAGGGAAGAAGATAAGTACAAGTGGAGTATATGGTTCAATGGAATAAAAATAGCTGCCTATCAGTGGGATGAAACAGACAAAGCTTAGACATTGTTTGAAGTTAGAATTATGAAAGCATGATGAGTTATGATTTATTTTACAGTGAAAGTCTTTAGTTTTTAGGGTTAACAAAAACCAGTATCGATAATATAGAAAGAAAAGGTTCAAAAGAAAACGAATTTTTGGAGTAGAGTTTTGGGTAAAAATGATTTAATTCACATAAAGATTAAAGTAAAAATATTTAATGAGGGTATATTAACTCTCCAGGACTCATTCATGAATATAGGATAAATTACTTAATGTAGGATAAAAGCTGAGACTTTGTACCTTGGGCAGAGTGGGAAATATAATTAAGAGATTTTTTTAAAGAAGAGGAAGATGTACAAAAAGTAGACATCTAAGAAAAAGTAATCTAGAAAATTCCACAATTTTCTAAGAATTCTAAGAAATCGCAATGATGGAGTTAGCAAGTGAAACTAAGAGACAGAAACTGAACCAACAAAACGACTAAAATACAGTGAGCAGGCCACTTTACAGGGATGACTGATCCCATCAGAGATTAAAATACCATTACCATAACTTTATAGATGAGAAATTCAGATGTCCAAAATTTAGTCAAGGTCTAATTTAAGAAGAGGAATGTGATTTGTGATATGGGTCTATTTAAAGTTAAAACTTGGTTACCAGTAAAACATACTTCCTAGTTTTTATACCCTTAAATAATTATCTTCCTGCTATATTCTTCCTTATCTACAAATTGTTTCCTTGTCTACAAATTCCTTATCTTCCTCATATACTGTTTTACATTTTATGTATATAGCACCCAGAAAGGCTTGCATAGAAAGTGAAATGATACAACAAACACAAAAAGTACCTGGCATGTAATTAGTTGGATTTCTCTTACAAATAAAGGTAAACTGATCTTTATTTTATCAGTCTTAAGTATAGGCACAAAATGGTAAGAAAGCAGCATTAATTCAGAGTTCTCATATATGCAAAAATGAAAGCTTCCAGAAAGGCTTCCCCAGAGAGAATGATACATATAACAATATGCAAAAAGACAGATGGTATGTAATCAGTTGGATTTTTCTTAGGAATTCTTATGACTCTTCATTTTGTCAGTTTTAAGTACAGGCATTCTATCAGTTTTAAGTATGGTAAGAAACAAGCATTAATTCAATGTTCTTGAAGTGCCACCATGTGGTAAGAAATAGTAAAACAATTAAAAAAATCTAGCTGGAGATTAGTAGCATTTATCTATCACATTATCAACCATTTCTTACAAAGCATTTTTGTGAAGAATATAATGCCATTATTCACTACCTGTAGGGATGTTCTGCTCACAGAAAGGATGATTTCATTATGTTTTATGCTTGGGTCATTAGTAATTTATTGTCCTTTAAGTATTAGGGTCTTGGTTGAAAATAAGCCCTGTGGATTCTTTGTATTAAGGTAAAAATCAGAGACTAAATGAAGAGAACTCTGTTCTCTGAAAGGAATGAAAAATACATTCAAAATATGGAAAAATTCTGGAAAGGAAATACATGCTCCAGCAATGTGCCTAGAATATATAATCTTTGAGATACAATTTCTGTGAAATACAAATTTTAAAAAGATACTATTCTAAATTCATCTTTTGTGCTAATATATACACATTTAATACTTTAAAAACATTTTAAACTAAATTATCATGAAATATAGCTTACCTGTACGGTTTCAATTAGACTTGCTGAATAAAAGGGCATTGCCACCATATAAGTTAGGCTGTAGAAATTAAAAAAGAAAAACTCATCAGCATATGAAACTCTTAGAATAGGTTTCTTAATTTCTAATATATCACCACAATTTATATTCATGTCTGAGTACTTAAATCCTGTACCCAAAGGATACTTCAAAGACCCTCTTTGAATATTTTACTCAACAATAAGAGACAGAAAAAGTAAATATTAATAACAATATACAGGCACAATCTGCATAGGCTTGTTTATGACTGTTTGGACATTGACCTGCATATAGTTAAAGCAGCCTACAAATCTGGTACTTAACATTTGGGATGAGGGATCTATTCCATTGCTCGCTTTTCTAATAATATTCAAAAAGTACACTGTTCTACTATTACCCTTTCTAATCACTGTCCACTCCTAAATTTCCCACCCTGTGGAGCTAAGCCAGTCTTCAAAAGTGAGCGAAGTCCCTTTAATTATCAAAAATAAAACACGTAACAACCAATATTATACAGTTTTGCAAAGTTGTTTCCTATCACCAACTATTTTAGACATAGTAATATTACAACTTTGCAAGCCTGCAAAATATAGTCATTTAAAGTAATTTCAAGGTGGGACTTACCTAACCCTACATGCCAGGTCCTGGCAAGCAGTGGCCTTCAAGGTGAATGGAAGAAACAGCACTAAGTTATAAAATGCTGGAAGGTCCCACAGAGGGAGCCAGCAAGCTGGGGGGTTTCCATATCACATCTTCAAAAAAAAATTAAAAAGTGAAGAGTAAAATTCTAATCTACAAAAATGGTCAGTGATGTAAATCACTAAGTGCCTTATGACATTTCATTTCATAAGTTTCAATGACATGAAGGTTTTGACTTTCTTCATCACTACATACATTTGTATTCTTAATAACAGAATAATTTTCTTGGCATTCAGGTTAAAGAAGCTGCCGATCTTTTCTCGCTTCTTAAGACCACAGTGCAGGTATCAGAATTTTACTGAGGCTGTTTTTTTTTTTGTCTTCTGAAGTTCACATCCCACAAATATTTAACTGCTCTCAGTTCCTGTACTATGCATACTTCAAAGGATTCTTTCAGTGCTAAAACTATAAAATTCATTTTTTCAATGAATGTTACTTTTAATACTTACGACTTTAGTAAAAGGTGTTCTGCTATTTGTGTGAGATTCCATTTATGTGAAACCTCCCTGAAAAATAAAAATAAATTTAAGTAAAGAAAAACTCATGTTATTCAAAAGATCATGAGTTAGTTCTATTTTTAAAATGGCAACTGATTTGTAATTGTTTTTAAACATGTAGGAAAAATATATTCTAACATTAGTGAACATTTTTTTCTCTCTTTAAACAACTGCAATATTTTGAAAAGAGAGAAAAATATAAACTATGTTTTCAAGAAGCTGACAAGGAAAAGAATTACAACTGATTGTCAAAAACAAACATGAGATATTAAATAATACAGGAAGAAAAATAGCTTTAAAGTTTGTAAAAGAATGTAGCCAGCACTGAAGCTGTGTTCCTGTTTCAATCCCTTCTCTCCACCAATGCTCCAAGAGAACAGCATCAGGAGCCCTGGGTGCCCTCCACCCTCAAGCCTTCTGCCTGGGCACCCCTACCCACCACAGCCTTCCCAGTGCAGAGCAGTTTTCAGGCCAGGCTTCACTGAGTCCTTGGAGCCCGCTTTAGTTATGGACTTGTGTTACTGATCAAGGACAAGTGTTAACAGAGGATTCAAGAAGATGGGGATGTTATTTTGCCTCACCTAAATGGAGAATTATCTCCAACTAAAATTCAGCCTGGGGGATGGGTCTGTCTCCCTAAGCCTGAAAACTGAATCCCCTTTGTATCAACTTCCTGCTACTTAGGTTGCTTCTGAAAACCAGGAAAAAGAAAAGAGAGTTAAGTTGAAAGAAAACAAAACCAGTTTCAGCCAAGAAAAGTATAAAAAGAGAGTGAACAAGAGGAAGAGTAGACTGAAAGTAATTAGAGAAGAATAATAAAAGTGAAGAGCCAGAAAAGGCAGCGAGGAGAGGAAGGGAAAGGGGAATAGGGGTGCCCGCGGCCACCAGCTGTCCTGTTATATCGCACCCACAGTATCCAGCAACCAGAGAAATACATTCTCTACATCAGATTAGTGATATGAAAAACATAAGGGGATATAAATTATTTTCTATTAAAAAATTGAAGAAAATAAATCAGTGTGTTCTAAGAACAAAAATATTAAAGAATGGGATTCATGCAAACTTTCCAATGCTTTTCTGAAGGATATGCAGGAGAGTGTTTAGCCAACAGAACAGTTATTCCTGATTTGTAAGATTTTAATGAGTCTTGTGGATAATATTCTGATTACAATATTATTGAGTAGTAAACATTAGGCCCAAACACCCAGGAAAATCGACCTAAAATGATGTTCACTGTTCAAGATTTAAAAAAGTAAGAGGCTGAGCCCTCCATCTTATTCTTAGTAACTCTGACAGTCAAACAACATGCTCAATCTCAGGGCGCCACCATCACCCTGCGCAGACCCTACTTCTACTAAGTCTACTAGATCATTAAGGTGAAAGGGAAAAATCTGAATACAATCAAGGAATTAGAGACACTTGAGACTCTCTTCATGTCCTCTATTGCTTTATAAAATGGGTTGATCTGCCACAGCTCCAAAAATTTAAATCAGCCTATTGTAATACTTTGTAAAGGGGACAGCAAAAACACTTACCGACTAGAAAACCTTTGTTGAGATCATCAAAACAGGTGTAAATATATCTATTATTTTCATAAGTAAAAATTGTCCTTGCAAATAAACAACACAATTAAGGAATGTAACTTACTTGCTTTTCTTAAACTAAAGTTTATACTTGATAGAGTAAGATATATGCATAATCAATACACAAAAGAGTAGAGTTCTTAAATCACTATATTTAAGCTTTACTAGTTATTACTTTTCATTCTCACATGCTCAAAAAGCTGCTTAGAAAAACTGTTCCCTAAACCCAATCCAAAAAGTTTATTGCAACTCTCCTTAAGGCCAACTTTCTAACCTGGCTATTTCCATGCCTAACTTCTCCCTCACTTCTGAACCCACTCCAAACTGGCATCCTGCCCATTACTGTATGACATGGTTTTTGCCAAGGTCTCTGTGCCCTCCATGCCCACTGGTCCTCTGAAAGTGCACGAGTCATGCTCTCCTTGCTGCATCGGCAGCCCAACATGGCTCTCCACTCACTGCAGTCTCCTGCCAACGGCCCGGTACTCCACTCTGCTGGTCTTATCTCCCCCTTTCGGTCTCTTCTTGGATTCCTTTGCAGGAAGTTCCTAAAGTCTTAGGCTCACTTCTAACTCTCAATGCTATACCCCTTTCCTAAACGTCCTCGCTCTGAAAGATAACCTCAACACTTCTCAAATCTATCTCCAGCGAGTATCATGCTAAGCAAAATGAGTCAGAAAGAGAGGGACAGACATAGAAAGACTGCACTCATTTGTGGAGTATAAAATAACATGAGACTGACACCCAAGGACAGTAGACACAAGGGCCAGGAATATTACTCCATAGTTGGAAGCCTGCCTCATGAGCGGAGGGGAGAAGGCAGAAGGAACAGAGAAGGGATCACTAAGAAAATGATGGCTGGAGGGATCGGTCGGGATGGAAGATAAAAGACCAAACATGATAACCTCTCAGTATCTGTATTGCAAACCATTACGCCCAAAAGTAGAGAGAGAGTATGGGGAATACTCTCTGCCATGGAGGCAGGGGGTGGGTGAGAAAGTGGGGGTGGGGGGGTGTATACTGGGTATATTGATGGTGGGGAATGTGCACTGATGGAGGGATGGGTGTTTGAACATTGTGTGACTATAACTCAAACATGAAAGCTTATAACTATATCTCATGGTGATTCAATAAAAAAAAAAATTTTAAAAATCTATCTCCAGCTTAGACTTCTCTAGATAGTCAACCTTCTGTATCGCCAAGTTCCCAATAGGACCTTGTCCAAAAATCAAGCTTGTGATACTTCTTCTCTAGTCTCAGATTTCTCTGGTGTTCCTTACATAGTAACTGTTAATCAGAGAAGAAATTATTAGAGAAAGACTGCGGTATTTAAAATGCAATATTTTTTAAGTTAATGAACTCTAGAGTCATTAGGAACAACTCATCATAGGTAGAAAACTAACAGTATTTATTTTGGCATAGCTACAGATGTGAGAAGAGTAAAATTAAATCAAAATTAAGCCCCAGGAGGTCTATAAGGGCCAGAGAGGCAGTAGAGGATGGGGAGTGCTCTGCATGCAGCAACCCTAGGTCGATCCAGGTTTCAGACATGGTCTCCTGGATCAATCTCAAGGGTTCATCCCTGAGCAGAGACCAGGGACAAGCCCTAAGCACAGCTATATATGCCCCACCCCCTCCCAGTGCTAAAAAACAAACAAAAACAAAAAAACAAAAACAAAAGCGAATGATTCAGACAACTGCTCCTTATGTTAATGACATGAGAAATGCCACATAAAGTCAAAGGGCACTTCTGGCTGGAGCAACAATTCTAACTCATTCCTCCTGGTGTGGGAAGGGATCTGAGTGGTAGAGAAAGAAAAGCATGACAAGAGAATGATTCTGAATGGTACTTCCCCCCTAGATTTAAAATGTGTTTGTATCTATTTTTTTAATGGTACTTAGAAACTACTAGCTTAAAGCCTCAATAGACACAATCCTCTTAAAATTTTCCAATGTGACCGGGGGATAGGGGGTGGGAGGGATACTGGGATTGGTGGGGGTGGAGAATGGGCACTGGTGGAGGGATGGGTACTCGATCATTGTATAACTGAAATCCAAGCACAAAAATTTGTAAAGTCTACAACTGTACCTCATGGTGTTTCACTAATAAAAATTCAAAAAAAATCTAAGTATTAGTAAATCACAGGTTCTACCAATGGCTATTATGCAATAAGGAAGTTCAGGCCAAGAGGGTCCACAGCACAGACTCCTCAGAAGCTGCTTCTCAGAGCCACTGTGGGTGTCCACTGTCTTGTTCCAACCCGGTTTTCCACAAGAAAGCTCCACCTGCCCTAAGAAGTTAGAGGGGAAAAAAAAGTCTGCAGCCGTTTCTCAGCCCTTCCCACTGTGAGCACCTGTAACTTGCTTCCTTCCAAAGCCCCCATCCTATGGCTGACCCTCCATGGATATGATTTCCACCTGTTGACTCTCTGGAATATCCTGGGGGCCCAGAGAGGGGACTATGGCCCCAAGTGTTGCATGCAGCTTACGGTGCTGACTTTATCTGACAAATGGTTCACAAGTCAAAATCCTTGAAGACAGCCGATGCCAGTTTAGGAACATGCAATAACTCCATCGACTGTATGCAAGGTGCTTTCAGAGGTGCCTACTGAAAACCATCTCAAACTGGATGACTAAGTGCTCTTGGTCCAAGCTATGATTCTTTCCTACCTAGAACAATACTGCAGCTTATGAACAATTACACTCTCATTCATCTTGATCTGCTGCAATTCTTCTCATCTCCCATGACAATGATCCTTTAAAATGTGAACCTGAACTTGATAAGCACATCTGCAGGCTTGAACACATGGTCTGCATGCAGGAGGTCCAGGTCCAGGGCCAATCCCTGGCACAAAGATTTCTAACCCCCCCCCCCCCCCTCACTCCCCCACTCCCCCAGCAATGCTGGGAGTGATCCCTGAGCACCAAGAAGCAAGGAGCCCTGAGCACTGCTGAGGGCCCCCCCACAAATGATTATTGCATCTCACCACACCAAAGTATTCAAGGTCCTCCACCTATTTTCCTATATCACTTTCCTTGTTTCATTCCTGTATATTCCAGACAGGGAGATCTTCCTGTATTTGTTTTGATCTTTGACTTATTTCACTTAACTTGGTATCCTCCAGGTCACTCAAAATTGCAGCAAACTGAAAAATTTCATCTTTTCTTACAGTATATGCCAAAATTATTTTTATTATTTTTATTATCAGGCAACATACTGACGGCAGAATTAGTGTTCAGGATCTTTACATACGGTTATGACAACTCACCAACATCAAAATACCCAATTCTCCACCAATGGCCTACTACCATTTCAAGTGAAAGAAAAAGCCTACCCCAAAGTCTCAGGGTGTGGCACAAGCCCTTTCTCCATCAAAAGTGTCACTCTGATGCTATGTTGAGTCCCGCTGTTAGCCTTTAAAGTTG